CCTTCGTTCAATTAAATTATATTTATTAGACTATGTCTTTTTGCGGCGATGTTATATGTAATGTAAAAATACTTTAATTGACTCAAATATTATCGAATAATATAATAAGCATTCTGATATCTCTAATAAATGCGGCTTAAATTAATATGATCAAACACATTTTCAAACGTATTGCTGAACATATAAGAGTTGTTTTGAGAGTTTAACGAATTCTCTTTCATATTCTTTTTTTATTATATATTATGTAAATGCAGTGCCGTTGCCCGTCACTAATTATGATATGTGAGTCCGAATATAATTCTACATTTTGTAGCATTGATACATATGAAGGTGTCTCCTCGCTAAATCTTGATATTTGACTGCTAGCCAGTGTTAACCGCATTATTAAATAATATATAATAAAGATCCAAATGATTTTTACCGCGAGGCAGATTTTAGCGCCGAGTGGTCGTCAGTGTATGGTGGGCGGAATGCTCTTCGCGTTTCATTAATGCACCACATTTACGCGACGCAGCCGATATTGTAATTTGTAACACCGTTGCTCAAAATTTTATATTATATTAGTGTAATATTTGACGTGCGTTACAAAACAGACAATGGATACATTAAAACTGTATTCGTTTATAATAATATATTATTCCTTTACACGTAACTTATATATCTATTAACTATTTTACGTATTAGTTAAATATTTATTTACTTTAAGGTTATATAATAGATTTTGTACTTATTTTTTTTATACCTATATCTTTTGTCTGATATTCGATGAATCTGAGTAACACGTGGATATATTTGACGGCACTAAATATGATTGTCTTCCGTTATCAACTTTTAATGGATTATGTAACAATAAGTATATAATATTTTGTTGTTTATAAACTTAACTCGAAATAAAGACTTCAGGCGATCTGTACTTAAACACGATCGCTATTATATTTACAGCTTTATTGCCTTGATAATAAAGTTGAACATTACCTATATTGGGTTTTTTCTAGTTGCACACCGGAAAACTTGTAAGAGACTAATTTCTGTGATATTTTTTTTCCATCCTTTTTTTTGTGCAGTTTATTTAGTAGAGGCATGTTCCCAAAAGACTGAAATTATCATACGAATGCGTGGCGCGGAGAATCGTGTTCTGTCTCATCACAATTATATCATTTTCATTTGAATAGTTGTTTTGAATGTTGTCATAAATATGCAGATATAACTAATATAGATTATATATATAAGTATATATGTGGCTGAGATCCAAATCAATAGATTTTTGTTAAAAACTGAAAATACTTAACGCTTTATGATAACTGTAGCTTATAAATCATTTTCAATCTGTACGCAACTGCATTTCTGTCTACAATGTTTCTTTCCTTAGCTTTTGAACAGCCTTCGCCAGTGCGATATGCATCGGCTGAACCTTGCAAATTACTTTTTTAACTCTAGCGGATATTGTGCGATAGAAAAAGAATAGTACTATAGTATTTAGTCTGTTAAGATGTTGATGTATATGATCGCTGGTCGTGTCGCGTCGCGCCCGCTCCGCCTGTCGCTGTGACCGTGGCCTTACGGGCTCTCGACCATTCATGTTAAGAGGCGCAAACGTTCGTACAATAATCAAATTTAGTAACAATTATAACCGTTAGATAGTTAATCCAAATGAATTTTTATCTAATATATAATAAATGTAGTGTATGTTAGCTGTGTAGAGTTTACGACGCTCAGTCCAGATTCGTATTTATATTTTTATGTGAAAGTGAGAAATGAACTCGCGATTCTACATATTTTTTTCGTTATAAAATAATTTATGTATTGTTTTCTAATCTGTTTATTATAATATTACAAAGCATTAGTTATCTAATGGTACAGTCGAGGAATATCTAGTGGTAAAAAGGTTTAACTACAAATACGTTTAAGTTTGCAGAGCGCCTGATTCTTCGATTATAAAATTTATAATTTTAGAGTAACAGGCCAAGTCGTTGTTGTAATAAATAAATCAGCGAGTTAGGACTGAGCGTGACTAGACGTGCGCGGGCGCAACGCCACACCCTTCACCACTATAGTCACTTATATTTTTCATAACTCGTTTCGTGAAACTGTAATTTAGTCATATTTAAATAGTAAATCGTTAGTTATATATATATAGTGTGTCTGAATCGAAAAAATATCTATTGCAAGTGTAACATTTATAGTTGACTATTTTCGCGCTAATCCCTTTAACTGTTGTATAGAAATCACAATTTATAACATGAAGAGAAGAGTCTATCTCTATTTTTATTTGTAATGATAATTAATTAAATATTAGTCACGACACTTTTACTACCTCGCTCGGCGCAATAACGTTATGTGATCGAGTTCATACACTGTTGTATGTGAACTGGATGTACGGATCGTGTCACTCGCTATTGAAACGTATACGACAGTTTGTGAAGTTTGTAACTAGTCGTTGAAGGTTTATTGGCTTCTTGAATTAATTATATCAAAGGATATGTTATTATAATTAAAAAAAAAAACAGTCACGAACCACGCAAAATAAAGATAAATTTTCTGGAACAAAATTCAATACTCGTTTCAAATTTTCTTTTTTGTGGTACGTGGTATACATACATGGTGATTATGACGCGGATCGTACATCCAGGATAATCTAGCGACAATATCTGTATAATTTCCAACGAACTAGTTTAAAATAGTCTTTAACATTTTCCGGGGGTGGCGGGGGGTCGGGGGTGATGTCGCGTGACAATACGGGGGTAGAAAAGATGGCGACGAAGCCACTAGCCCCCCCTATCACCATCTACAACACTGTAATATCAATTATCAGTAGAATACACGTCGGAAATAGAATTAACAGTGAGCGATTCTGGCTTCAATTTTCACAGTTGATTTGTATTATTAGTACTGATGATATTTGATTCCAAGTAGAGATGCAGCGGGTAAATGCAATTAATTGGAATAACTATTGAGACGCCGTCGCAGCGTTAAAATTAGCAGAATATAAGACGCTTTTGCTCAGTCGCACGAACGTCCTTTGAGGTTCAACGACGAATTGAAACTCTAATTAATGTTCTGAATTAAAAAAAAATATATATGTATCGGTGATGTCGTTTTAAACTAATGTCAATTTTAATGGACGTTCGTGCAACTGAGTTTGTAGCACAATATTATGTACATGCTTGAGTTGTACACTTCTTTACAGAGTAGTTTCAAACAAACTTTATATATATATATGTATGTAGTTTCAAACAAACTTTAAATGTATATATATGATTGCGTAAGCCGTGCTTGTTAACTAGCTAGACTAGACTAGCTGACTTGGCCGCGTGTTGATGTGGCACATTTAGTATTTACCCAAGCTATGCAGCACACTATGGTGGAATATTAATCGATTACACAATCTATTCTCAGGTTTCAACAACAAGAGACCGATTCAGATTCCGAGTTCTTATAAAAATATTAGATCATTGCGTTGAATTTCCGAACTCACGATCGACTTTGAGCTTTTAGAGCTCAGCACAGCCGAACTACTGTTAATTCTATTTCGTAGACTCGAAACTTTTAAGACGGTAGGTAAACTCAATGTAAGCTTGTAGTGTTAGGTGTGTTGTACCGGAATGTGACGTTGCCGGAACATAAATTAATATAAGCACACAATGTTTAGACGTTAAGCGATCTTATAGTTTGCATCGTAGGGTATATACACGCTGCGGGTTAGGGCGCGGTCACAGCGGTTTTGTTATACATATCTGTGCTAAGGATAATCATGTAAATAATAACCAGTGGGGGTGGTAGCGGGAGGAGGGGGGGGGGCGTTGCTCTCGCACCCTCGTTGTGCCGTGCCGGAACATTTCTACTGTTATGGACTGTGTATTTTTTTATGGTATACACTCACATATTACTATTTTCAATTCAATTATTAAGTAGTGAAATTTGACTCTTGATTCAACTTTGTAGCCGATAGCTATATGCAACACGTACAATAATCGTAATGGTTTGCGAGTAAATACTTAATAATATTTTTAACAAATTCGTTATCCTCTATTCACATGTTACCACTGTAGGGCGTAATTAATTAAATGTGGACACTGTTTTGTGTTTACACGCAGCCTTGTAGAAATGTCCGGTGTAATGTGTTGTGATCGCGCGTTAGCCCGCGGCGGGCACCGACGGAACCAATGTTTACTAGGTTAATAATAATCGAATATAAAGAGGTCTAATTATTCGGTAAGGTGCGCGACCGCGACTGCGACCGCGGCCGCGACCGCGACCGCGGCCGGGTGTCGCCGCCGCGCGTTGCGCGTTAGTGATATAATATAAATTAGCACTAATAACGATGTACAATAAAACACCCTCTCTGCCTTAGTGATGCTATTCTTATCCCCCTAATGCTACGATATATCACCCTAGAAACGAAATTTATTATGATACTTGTAAATACGAATTCTTATGGCTGATGTGTTGTATCATAAAATGTCGAGCACTTATGGAAAACTTTAATTCCTAACAATGGTCCAAACTTCACTTGCTTTTTTATTTGTACTATACGATTATACATTTTCTATTATAGAGTAAATAAAAAAAAGAATAATAAGTAGACTAGAAATTAAAATTATGCTTTAACGTTTAATTTTTTGATAGATGTAAAAAGAACTATGTATTTGTCGAAATGCTTAATTTTCATAATCGAACGTTTTATGGCAAGATATGTGGATACCAAATGCAGTATTTTTATTTTGTACTCTACATCTTTGTACCCGAATAAAAGCAATAATCTATAGGTGTGGTCGTTTTATTTGATCGGCACGTTCCGCAGCTGCGCGTCCGCACCACTAAACATAATGGCGCTGTTAACACGAAAAAAACTTTATTGGAGTATAATAGGGCTTTGTGCTGTGGTGCGTGAGGCGGGGCGTGTGTTTACAAACATGCTCCAAACTGACGATAAGTGTCGATATAACTTCCTCTACGAGATATAGTGAGGTCGAAGCGGCAGTAGTTCGCTAGAGTTAACGATGGGCTGGTTCATTGTGGTCGTGTGGGCAGTGTGCTGGACAGAATTAGCCGCCGTCAAAGTGAAGGTGGTGATGCATTCCGATGAGGATTCTAGGGTTGAAGAAGAGGAGAGGTTCCCCAGAGAGCACAAGCCCAAGAGCGCCGAGGTCACCCTGCTACCCTTTCTGAAGAAGCCACTCGTGAAACACGAAGACGAGGAGAAGAGTACGACGGTGAAGCCGCGACAGATGCACCCCAACGAAATGATATTCCCTTTAATATATAAACAGACGCACATAAACAGCATGTTCAAGTTCGGTGAGAACTGGTATACCTGGTCCACCGAGAAGCGAACAGACGGATCAAAAGCCATCAACTACTATATATGTTATGATGAGCCCAAACATTGCGACGAAGTTGGATGGGTGAGACATGTTTTTCAATTGCACGTTTTCTAACAAAGTGGTTAGAGAGTCTTTGGAAGTATAACCATTGCTAACCATAGGTTTGATGATAGGCACGACTACGTTTTATTTCTATATTAATTCAGTCAGGTATCGAATCCGGGACCGTGGATATGAGTCGAGCAATACATGCATAGAATTTATTGCTATATGTTGCAACCATGCCAGTGGATAAGTTTAGCGTGTATTAAATTTAAATATTAGAAATTATCCTCTTTCTGTAGACTTCAGAGGTACTTTTCTTATCCCTGATATTCAATATACTTACAGAAATAAATATCACCCTCTCAATATGAATTTGTACTAATAAAAGTGCTTACCCAGTATACGACAGTACCCCATAAAACAATTGCAAATGGCATCTGAAAAAAAATGGCCGTTCGATAAATTAGATGAGTAGAATCGCAAACTTAAAAAGCTATTTATTTTTTAATGTTGACTTATCTGTATTCAAAGAATAAAGTAATCTTTACATTTCAAAAGAGCTATTTAGCATATGATATATAAAAAATATCTGTTAATTGGTGTTTATTCTCTACTAGAGTATAGGTTTGCAACTAGATTTTTCGATTTTAAATTATAATAAATAATTATATAAACGACAGTGACTCTTTCATATCTAACTTTTTAATGCATTATAGACTTGATGTTGACTTATATAATGTTGTTAGGAGCGCACGGAATCTTTGCCAAAGTGCGCCTTCCAGATTGATTCGTTGATGCCCGACGACCGCGCGTGTATCAATCCGTTCGGCGTGGAGCCACACAACGCTGGCGCGTGCGACGGCGCCGAGCAGATGAAGGTAACAAATACGCACATACTAACATTAAAATTAGTAATTAATACCGAAATTATCCATCAAAAGATGTCTTTGATGTGTATTACATGTGATTGAAATCAAATATCGCCAATCTACACTAAGATTTCATATCTATCGCTAGAGAAATGAATGATAATGCTCTCTACTAACAATGAAATCTAAATAATCCACTCCTATCGAAATAATCCACCATTATTATACGCGCTAGTATAAAGAGCACATAAAGTTTTGTGTCCAATTGGATTTGTTTGTACTACACGATTTACTAAACACGTCGTTAAGTGTTTCATCGTCTTTCTTATTCTGTTCTCTATCTATATATATATTGAAAACATATTCGCTCGCCACTACCATAACCTAATACTGCTGTTATATTATTGGTGTAACGGTTAATAAGTGTTGTAATAGTATAATGGTGGTATAGGTTAGCGAGATGGTCCGCGCGTGCGGCCCTCGTATCAGGTCTCTGTGGCGGTTCTTCCGCGTGGGTCGGCGGCCCGCAGGCGCTGTCAAGCCGGCCGATGTCAACTCGCTCATTTGCGAGGACGAAGAGGAATGTTACATCACCATCGAATACAGGGTATGTGCTATATATACATATATGATAGTGATGATTGTTTCCATAAAGTTGAAACAAGGTGTACTGCTTCGAGAATAGCATATTTTACTCAGTATCAGAGAAAATATACAATTGAGATACCTTAGGCGATAAGCAGTCGAAATTTGTTAATTTTAGTTCATTAAGTAAATAAATTATTTATAAAAATTTAATTTAAAAAAATGTTTGTGTTTAATATACGCAAAACAGTAGTTGCTATGATATGACGTCATTCAGTCTTGTAAACAAGCGAAGAAGTGTATTCATAGGCGATTTTCATTAAAATAATACCGAAGAAGACGTTGTTGTAAAGGAGGATAGTACAAAATACCTATAATAAACTGTTTTGGATCTCTTTTTTTCTGAAACACCATCTTTGGTTCTGCCGGGTCAGGAAATGTTAAAACATTCATGTAAGTACATATATCGATTGTCCTCTTTTAAGTCAATGAATATTAAAAAAAACACAACTTTTGTGATTACGATAAAAGATGTTTGAAAATTCATTATTAATTTCATGATGATAATAATAGTAACTTATTTTTAAATTATAAACACTTTCTGGTAAATAAAAATTAACATGTACCAGTGAGTTTGTTTACATTACGAACTGACGTCACAACTACAGAGCGATGGCGTTTAAGTCGCGCGAAAAATGCAGCTTTTATGTTTTTTTTAATGGTTAATCCTTGTTTAATTTCACATACACTTCTTGTATTCAGTATATTGGTCATCGTTACTACCATTCGGATAGATTTGCGTTTACCTTAACGACCGACCGCGTAATTCTAAGCCGTGTCTCACATAACATTCGTTGATCTAGATCCACCACGACCGGATAACGTTCTCGTTGCACGAGCCGTCGCGCGGGCAGACGTTCAAGAGTGCCCTCAAGCGGGAGGTGGTCGAGGAAGAGTCGAAGACCACGGAGCGTCCTCACACCACGCACCGAACGCGGACGCGGGACGACGAGATCAGGACACCCAAGTTCAGGGTCCGTCAGCGGAAACCGACCGAAGGGAAGGGGATCCTCAAGGAACACAACGACTCCGGCTACGGTAACCGTCGCCTTCTCAAGAATAAGATCAAAATACGCGAAGACGTTTCAGAGGACCTCTCAGAGTAGGAACTCCTCTTGTTTTTCGATGAATAAAAAATAGAAATGGTATAAATAAAATATTTCAAAATCGTCATATTCCACCACCAGCATTTTAAACTGCAAACAGAACTATATATATAAACAAACTTGTCGGTTATGATTGTTCTTATAACAAATTTGATTTATGAATAAGTTTACATTTCGCTACTTTTGTGTGCAGTTAAAAATGTTTGTACGGAGGTAAGGGGTCCCGTTAGTTATCGTTGGTGACGTCACGTCGCATCGTGTCGACACGCGACTGTCGCCGCCGACATAGGCTTACGATGTCCGGATTATATCTGGCATTATCTGGATATACCCAGAATAGTAGTTAATGAAAAGTGATTTTAAGTTCATATACATATAAATGTTATTTTTGAGTAACGAGTCTAGACAGGTTCTTGTATACTGAATTATAATAGTCGTCCAAAAGCAAGTCAATGTTGTTGAATTGAGTTTGGATCGCTCTCACGAGCGTGCAACACACACTAAGTACAATTGTATCGCATTCCAAAAGCAGCTTGTAAACATACGATGTGTTGTGTTAAACTCTGCAACACAATACGTATGTAATAAAAGTTTGTAATAAGTATCCATGTTGTGTTTTATTTGTGTAATTTTATTTCTTTTTAAGAACGGCAATTCAAAAGACTGAATAATCATGAAATTAGATACTTTCGAAACTAAAAGTAAATTAAAAAAATAACAAACTTAGATATTTTTGAAAATGCATTGTTCGTGAATACTAGATTTTGATGTCACACGTGTATTATCTTTATGAAAATTATTTAACATGTGATTTTGATTCAACTGACAACATATATTTAGTGAGACCGATCCTGATTGATCTGCCGATTGTTTTTGTTTATAATGTTTGATATGTCGCTGGTGTTTCACTGATAACCCTGTATATCAAAGTCAGCGTCACAATTATCAAAGTGCACAGGTTAAACAAGTTCAATTATATGCAGGCAGAAATGCGAAATAAATTTTATTATTATTATTTAAATTACATAATATTGATCGAAGATATTTCTTCGGTCTACTAATTAACAACTCTAATCGAATCGTACCCATCTCGATGCAAAATTATTCGACTCGAGCGAGCCAAACAATCACTTGTGGTGCTTTGATGATTATGACGCGGCCTGTACCAACACCCACACCATAAAATGAAACCACTATACCATTTTCTATGGGCAAATAATATATTTGTATATTAAGTTTCGCTTAAAAATATAAACTATTTATGTTTCTTAAACTTCATCTTCGGTTGGCGGCGCGCCTTCTCCGCGTCGTCGTAGAACTTCCTGTAGTTTACGTTCTTATATATATTGTTGGGGGAGCGCGGGCGGGCGGGGGGCGGCTTCTCCCCCGACATCTTCCTCTTCCTCTGCGCCTTCTTCTCGCTCACAGGCTCCTCCTCGATCACTATCACTTCCTTCTTTTCGTTCTCTATTTTCGTCTTCGCCTGTTGCAGTTTCAACAGCACCTCTGTCTTAATCAGCTCGTCGCCTCTGCCTAACGCCGCAATTTTCGCTTCTTTGTCTTTGTATTCTCTGATTTCCTCGATCTGTGGATATTACGACCATTTAAATCTACAATGGTAATAATGTACAACAGTAATTTCAATTAAAACGTCTAAGTAACCAAATCACAGAGATGGTAAACACAAGACACGTCATATACATAATTCACTCATTCAACTTTCATACACGTTCGCCGATTTCTATGATTTCCGTCGGTAATTTATTTATTTTTTAATAAACTTTATTGACCAGTAAAGAAATGGTACAAAAGGCATACTTAATTCTAATGGCATTATCTCCCAGTCAACCTTTAGGAAATACGTTAAACGCGAAGGCGGTATAAAGTAAAAATTAATTATGCGTAGATATAAAGAAGAAACCAACTAACCGACGAAAAAATATATACATATAAATACACATATACAATAACACAAAAATAGATACATAATATTGATGAAGAATTTCACTTTCACATTTTCAATTTCGTAATAAAACGTAAAAGATAAATTAATGTACTACGCACAGATCAGGCAATTAAATTTTTTATAAGAGTGTCAGGTTACCTGCGCCAGCGCACGATATTTTCTATATCTGTCGAAGGGTGGAATGAACATTTTCGCTTCTGCATTCAGATCGGACACCTGTAACAAAATATATATATATATATATATATATATATATATATATACGGTATATTCTTACCATTAAACATAAATAAACGTTTTAGTTAATCTACCCATCCACCATTTCTTTTTTTTTTTATGGCTGCCTCCAAGGTCGGAATTATTCAAAGGTCTCAGTAGGCCTAGGATGGGCAAATATTAGAGGAAGTTAATAATGGAATAAAATATACAGGATGATAATAGTGTCTAAATTATGATAGTTAAAAAGAGACTAGTCCTAGAACGACCCTGCATGCCCCCCCCCCCCTCCTCCCGAGGTTACTAGCAGCGTGTTTTACCAGTTGAGCCGGCCTCACTTAAGCCTGTCCTTTTCAGCACGGGTGCGGGGTCGGAGAGCCCTGGTTTAAGACTGTTCAGTGGTCAAACAAAGTGTTCCAAACTATATAATGACTTATCTCTCGCTTTGAGATTACGATAAGATTACATTTCAGCAGCAGCAGATAGTTGTACCCCCTCGCTCGGCAGCGGGCCGTTATAATTATCTACTGTGGGTAGTTGCACACTCACGAGCGGTACGGCGGGTATCAGCGGCTCCATAAACACGGGCACGTCCGCCAGGAACGGGGGCGGCGAACACGTCGCATCCGACCATCTCTCCAACTCTATCTCGCAACTAAACAAAAACAAATAATAACCAAATATTGTTAATAGTCGTATCTAATCTTCCTCATAATTATCAAACACCAAATGTTATGCGAGCTTTCATGGTGTAAGGTGTACAAAAAAGGAATGAAAATATATATTTTTAAAGCATGATATAACGGTTATGGCCCATTGAAATATGTTATTCAGTATAAAGTCATAAAATGGCTACGCGTTTAGGTTTAATCGGCGTTAATGTTGTTACGAAAATCGTCAACTTCATATTTAAAAATGAAAAAACATATAATTAACTTTATAAAATCGTATCAATACTCTTCAATATAATTATCGAGAAATATTTAGTAGGTATGCATAAAGTTAAACGAATCCAAAATGTTTTTCGCGAATTTTATTTTCTTTGCTGTCTGTACTAAAACGACAAATAAGTGATTAATTTCGTAGTTAACCCCATCCTATTCTCATTTGGCTCACATAATCAGTCCACGTACAGGGTCCACGATTTTTCAACCGGTAGAGATACCTGATAGGATATAACGGGATCTTTGTAATGTTTTATAAAGATTTGTGGTCAAATAGACCGTAATCTTGTACAAAGGGTTTGTTTAGTGTCGATTTTCAGTTACTAAAAATTAATTCATTAGCATTTGATCTCTTGTTCTTGTTGAAAAAACTCTTATTTTATGTAAGAATGTAAGGGAGTGCAAAAGAAAGGGATTTTTACAACTCTTGGTATTTGCGTATATTCGATATGGACTGTGATTAATATGCAAGGTGTTAATAAAATTCAGTTCATTTGCCTTCTAGATTGTGATATGTTGTTACGTAATATACAGTATTGTTGTCCGCGGCCCGCGATCGTTGCTCCCCAATCCACATTGGGCCAGCGTGGAGGGTCATGGCCCATCCTCCTTAACCATCCATAAGGAAGGCCTGGGCCCCTGCAGTTGGGACGAAATAAAGGGCTGATGATGATGATGATGATGATGATGATGATGATGATGATGATGATGATGATGATGATGGTGGTGGTGGTGGTGGTGGTGGTGGTGGTGGTGGTGGTGGTGGTGGTGGTGGTGGTGGTGATAATGGTGGTGATGATGGTGGTGGTATAACATACCCCATGTCTGGTAGATGCGTGAGGTCGTGCAGGTGCGCGGTCGGCTGCGGCGCGTGCGCCAGCGAGCTGATGCTGCTCGGCATCTGGTACAGCTGCGGCTCCAGCGGCAGCTCGCGACACTGACACGTATATTGAATATATAAGCACACAACACGCTATTCGGGCTAGATGGGATTGATTCATCAAGAATATTTCGCAGTATTGCATTTTGAATGCAAAATTTATCAAATACAATAAATATAAAATAGATAACTATTTGAAAAATAATGTAGAAGTAACAGCATGTCTGCGATTAATAGTTTCGAAATACGGTGCTACGTTTGCGCTCGCTACAAATTCAAGACACTACGTGACGTCACACGGTGCTACGGTATCGAAAAACGTATGGGCGCCTGGGCAACGTTTGTAACATCTTTGTTGTTTGTGCTTTTATGTTTATAGCTGTGATAATAAATGTTGTTACGTTTTGATTCCTAAACTTTTGTAATATATTTTCTCCGCTTTTTCAAGTTTTTAAAGCGCAATATTTTCCAAATAAGGGTAATAAAATGGTTCATATTTCCCGAACATATAACAGGAACCTATATTTTCACATGTAGAACGCGAGCCTATTTACCCTAATCCATCCGCACAAATTATAACATACATCACCCTGGCACAATGTAGCTCCCCGTAAGCGAAAGAATTTTCATGATCGAATGAGTAATGCCGAAACTTTACCCCCGTATAATATTAGTTAGTGTAGATAACTACCCCAGGGGTCGGCAACCTTATACAACGGAACGGAGAAATATTTAATTTCTCGTTAACATTTTATTTATAATAAAATAAAATGTTAAGCAGATTTCCCAAGGGCCGGCCATAAGATGGGTGATCAATAGTTTATTGTGGCATCCTCCTTCATGCCTTGCAACTAATTTGAAGTTGAGCCCGGCTTCATCAACAGTTGAAATGACCCTTTACCCATTAATCCGCCCGGTAGTGAGCTTCCGGTAAGTAAGGCAATACTTGTACCGCAGTTTTGGGACTTATAATCATATTAATAGACTGCTATATTTCCATATCCGTATAATATATATAAAAATCTGAATCCAATCACTATCTAAGAAATACACATGTAACCAGCTTGCATCCCATTATTATAAATTGACATTATAATACACAATCATATACATTGCTCAGATCCTAAGGCGTTGTGATTTGTTTCAAAAATTATACAAAAATTGTTGAACAAATTCCTAATTAGGTGATTGTGTTGTGGTGATTTGCTAAGAATAGCTGTGTAGACTACTTTATTAAATATTTTAATAGCTATACATAATATTAAAAATAGTTTATCGTAATATCCTTCATGTAATAAGTTAAAAACTAAAATTAATTTTCAAATTTTCCCGAGGCAACACCAATCGGAAACGAATATCATTCTATGTATGCATAAGATTGAGGGTATGTTCCGATATACACTGCGACCACTGAACAGTATGACTTCAAGTTAGTATACTGGAAGCCCGTTCCTTTATAGCTAGTTATACTGGTGACTTTTTAAAACGGAACGCAGTCCAGTATACTGTTAATCCTATTTTTGGCGCCATTTTTAAATTTGTTAATGCAAGGTGAATATAAATATAAAGATTCCCTCTTTTCAAAAGAAAATATTATAAAATTGGAAAATTGTATAAAAAAATTATTTATCAATCAAATCCATCTTATAATAAACGTAAGTATTTTATTTTATCTGTTTCGACTGATCACGTGGTCAAAAGCACTGCGAGCACTGCACCTCGAAATCTCCAGTGCTCACAGTACAAATATGGCGGCAATTTATGACGTCATAAATTTCCCTAGGGTACTGTAGCAGTGTACTGGCAGTCCATAACGGAACGGATTTTTCAGCAGTAAGACCACTTTATTCATAAAAATTCGTTTACTGTCTACATCCGTATTGAAATTTAATTAATATATAAGATATATTTAAGTATGTATTTTTATGAGATGCGTAATCTTGTACTTGACTTTTTATCGAACCATCAATCCACTTATAATTAGAGTTTATTCTAATGCAATATTGTAAAACAAAATTATAAAATATGGTTTTTAATTAAGCAAATTAATTTATTAAAATGAAATAACGTCACTCGTCTGTCTTTGTGATGATGTGAATGATAAGTATATACATATATAAACTGACCGACAGTAGCATCCTGTGCACAGTGACCAACTGCTGCTTGACGAAGGGCGGTGTGGGGCTGCAGCACGCGGCGACGCCTTGCACGTCGCGGGGCAAAGCCTCCGCCAGTGATAGCAACATGTGGTTAGGCAGCAGGTACCTTATACCATATATACACACACAATAATAGTACGTCAAGTACGTGTAGTATATACATTTCAATTTATGGGTTTATGGCAGTACCAGAATCTGATGGTGCAAAATCAAAAGAAACAGTCCCGGCTTTCATATGGCAATGTTAACCGTCAAATGTAAATTGTTGTGAATATTTGGAAAAATATTTATAATTTGAGTGGTGAAATTTTTCAAATTGCCTTTGATATCTCAAGCAAGAAATATTGTTTTTAATGTTTATAAAAAAAATTGTGAAAAGAAGGTTTTTAAGTTTTATGAATCGACCAGTAACTAATAATGACTAGCATTGATATATATTTTTTTCTAAAGAAATAAATATTCGTTGGCGTATCGACTAACAAAATAAAACTATTTATTAGTGAAGCAGAAGATAGAAAGTAATTTACTATGCTGGGGAAAAATGGGAACGGTGAAAAGAAGAAATTAGACTGGATTTGATTTAGATGTGTAAGTGTAACAGACAGTTGCAATATTAGTAGAGATTAGCAATAAACAATCCATATAGTATATCTTTTTTTATTTATTCGAGTTAGGTTCCGGGTCAGGTAAAATATTATTGTGTTTTCTCTGACGGATTGGGTGTTGTCCAATCAAAACATCAGATGATGGTAATATAGAGTGTACAGTGTATGGTTTGCCCATTAAGATATCTTATTATGTCTCACCCAGATGGGTAATTTGATGGGTAAAATTTTCCGAGAGCCAAATTAGCTCAGAAGTATATTCAATACTATCAGGTAGTTGTTGAAAAGTGTTTTATAAATTAAAAATATTACAAGTATCAAGAAGTCTTTATCCTATTTCCCCAATGTTGCCTTCTACAAGTTAAAATTTCCTGGTATGCCATCAGATTCTGGTACGCCTATAGTTTCGTGTATCACACTAATATTATTAATATAGGTGTCTTCTATGGGATATTGAGAATATGTAATGCATAATACTGTGCCCATGCCGCATGCACAAATTAATAATAACAGCAGTACTCGTTCCTGGGAAAAATCGTACGTTGACTTTTCATAATAATTAAAATTAGAAAAATCCATAAACGATTGGAAAATCTCATAGCACCAAACAACATAAACGCTTGTTATGACAGCTTGACTCAATCTATACGATTACCTTTTTATTTCTTATAATTCAACCCCAAAAGGACTGCAAAAAGGATCAAAGGAAATACAATCGTTTTCTTTTTGACGAATATTTCAAATAATTTATTTTCGAGTTTTAATATTAGATAGCGAATTTAGAAAATTTAAGATATACCTAGCTATTGTCACACCGTCACCCAGTTTCTGAATTGAATTGAGAATTTAAAGTTATGCCATTTCACACGTCACTTAAACAGGTTTTCGTTTGTCTTTTTTTTTAATTTAATAAAACTATGAATTTTTGCCATGTAAATAACTAGCTTTCCGCCAGCGGCTTCGCTCGCGTGGTCTTGTATTATACATAAAAACCTTACTTTTGAATCACCTTATCTATGAAAAAAAATAACCGCATCAAAATCCGTTGCGTAGTTTTAAAGATTTAAGCATACATAAGGATATAGGGACAGACAAAGCGACTTTGTTTTATACTATGTAGTGATAATCCTTTGAGATTTTGAACTTTTCTCAATTCAGAAACAGGACGTATGTCTCACTACGTTGTATCCTTCTTATGTATCTCCTTAATATGTGGCGTAGAAAAATAACCAGTTATGGTTAACCCCAACATCAATCAACATCGACCGCGCCGCCATAACAAAGGAATTTTAAGATTGTTTGTGTGACAACACATGAAAATGCGCACTTTTAATTCTAATGCAATGAATAGACAACTAATTTCGTTCGCCTCCTACGGCTCGTTTTGCTTTACTGTCAGTCTTATCTAATGTTCTAATTTTTTAAGCTGTAATTGAAAAATGAGAAAGCTACATTTGCCTTCTAGTAACAACACAGCGATGTTTCATCACTAGATGGCGTTGATTGTCGGTTGAGTCGCGCCAACAAAAGCGAAAGAAACCGATATCCGAAGCGGATAGCTAGCGTAGTGAATCTATCTGGACGATTTAATAGTGAAGTTAATTAATTGTCCGATCGTTAATTGGATTAATTTCCATCCGAACCCAAATTCGTAACAACAGCTTGTACTCACGTGGGGCTCTCGTCTAGTTCACGCGCGTGTTGGTCCCGCCACTTGTATAACAACTTGAGTGCTGCCATCTGTTGACTGTTGAACGACTTCTTGGAGCGCATGTACAACGGCATATGACTGTCGTCGCGGATCACTTCCTTGTTGTAAGTCTACATGCAATAATAAATTATGTACTACAAACAAGAAAAAACCGGCATACATTTAATCCTACTCGATAATTAACTACCCGACTGACATTACACCACTATCAGATTTACATTTCTCCAAAGTGTTCATAAATAATATATATATTAAAAAAAGCATATATTTTCATTAATTCAAACTGTCTAATGACATTTCGTCCCATGACGTCACATTTCATTAAACATTTCATAAACACGAGTACTACAAACACGTCGACGTATAGTTTATTGAAATGTGACGTCACACATCTCTCAGCGTTTCGGTTCTTGTAACCAACAGATTATGAATCGCAATTAACGACATATTCCGTGTAAAGTAAGCCGAGATCCACGTTGTATAGTGTTGTGCACTCACCCGCAGGCACACGTGTCTGCTCTGTTCGAATACGGCGAGTAGATGTCTAGTGCCGAGTGCACACAGTTCGCCCCTGAGCCGGCGGCCGACGTACAACAAGTAGTGCGTGTCGCTGCGCGCGTACGATATCAACTCGGCGGGCAGCGGCCTCATCCGCCAGTCGGCCAACTGGAACCTGTATTCAAAATATCCACTGAACAAAGGCCTTTCCTGAATTCCTCTGTATACCAATTTCTAACAAATACTAGCTAACACACACACACACATTCAAAGTTGATTAAGATACAATTTAAAATTAAATGATAATAATATAGTAGAATCACGGTCAGTTGCACAAACGTCCATTATGGTTTAATGACGCCTTTAAACTCTAATGAATGTCAAAATTGTATCGGTAATGTCGCTTTAAACTAATGACAGATTTAATGGACGTTTGTGCAACTGGCTGTTAGGAACATAAAATTATATTCTACTTGAAGGTGGGCGCTAATGGTTGCAATTCAGTTTTTTTTTTAAACCATCGTGACTATTATCGTACGCTATACTTTTGTTAAACTATTTGTTCCAATAATTACATTTTTTATATAGATTACAAAGTCGCAAAGTCCTTGGCTACAGCGAAACAGTGGACTATTGTAGCCGATATGCCTCATTATTACGAAGTAGTTTCAGTTAGACTGCGAAATAAGCAATAAATTCTACAGATCACGCCAATGTGTTTTTGTTTCAGTTAGTCAGCGACACACTTCGTTAACAAGTACCGAATGTCCAATCGGAAGGTGTACATTTAATGAAAAACCTGAAGGTAGACTCGTTAATGATATACACAAATTAGAAGTTATAAAATGCTATTTTAGCTTTACTGTAGTACGCCATAATGACTGACTCTTTGACCAAAAACAGGGAAAATTTAATTTATCTAGCAAGTTCAGATCAAAATTACTTAATTACTCCTAGGTTGGCTGGAAGAGATCTCTTTTAGAGATAAGCCCACCTTTGTAACAAATTTATTTACTTGTTTTATGTAAAATTTTAAGTGCAATAAAGAGTATAATAATAATTTCTAACTCAATTCAAGCAACTGATTACAATTTAAAAAAAAACTGTCTTCCATCCATAGTGAAGCAGTTAATTATTTCATTATATCTGGCTACTCATTCTTAATTAGTTCCTAACTTTTTCAAACAAACGAAGTTCAAGACATTCCGCTTTTTAACATGTTACGTGCGACTGCATATGTATTTTTTACTATATTTCGTTCATTACATGCGTGATATTTTATATAAATGCGAAAAGAACATTTCCGACTAAGGAGAACAGAGATGAGTGGCCAAGTAACAAAACAAAGCTTTCATAGCGACATATTACAATTAAAACACTTATGAAATGCGAAAGATGAAATGGTTTCACTGATTTATCAACGCTTAAGAAATGTGTCTATGAAACTGATGGCTAGTGTAGGGGACAGTGTATGCGTTCGACTGACTTCTTGTCCGCGTTGACGCCGCAGTACTGCATCAGCAGGTGTTTGAGCGAGAGCGAGGGCAGGCGGAGGGCGCGCGCCGCCTGGTGGGTGTCGAACAGTCCCACAAGGTACACGCCGAAGTCGCGCTGCAGCCACAGCACGTCGTGCTCAGCGCCGTGGAACACCTGGCACAAACCATGCCTCTCAGCAAAGGATCATGACCAGTTTTAACCGAAAAATTTACCAACGCATCTGGCGATGTAATATAATTTGTCTCGAAATTTAGCTTATTATATTTTTGTTCACTTATTTCATATCAGGAAATTGAAATCTTAAAATAAAGTCAGGATAGTAAATTGCGAGGCTGATTATTAAACAGTACTCCTAGTATGATAGCTACCCCAATGCGATTCGGACCCAATGGCGGTTTGCTACGTTTCGTTTCATTTTTGGATCATTTCCATATTTAAGGGTCAAACATAAATTTTTAAAGTAGGTTCACAATTATCTCTAGATTTGACAGCTGTTATAACCTCAAAACATTATTTACAAAGATATTATTCTGTTTTAAGCAAAAACTAATTTAAATTATCACTAATCGTTGGGAAACGCGACTTTTTAAAAATCATAAGGCAAGTCAATTAATATCTAGAAAGTGGACCTGATTCAAAGGATTAGAGCAAATTTTTCAAAAAATCTTTTAATTATACATGCATCTGTCCTATATAACGAAACAAACATATAATAAAGTCCGCCACATTATGACGTCAATATTTAGTATACTTATTTTAACAGTAATACAGCGATTGTTCGGTTTATTGGTAATATTGACATGAAATTAAATGTCTTTAGTCACTTGTTTCAAGCACTTTTGAATCCAAAAACAAATCATCCGGCATCCAAAAGTAATGCAATTATCAACGTTGAGGCAAAGATCGTTAGTCCAAGAAACACGCTAAATTGTCAGGTTGAATAATAACATAAATATCAAACTCCACGAACAAACACACAACAAACAAACCAAACCAATCATCCACTATTATCTAACAATCTTAGATGAAAACAAGCATGTCAAAATAAAATCAACTAATCGATTATTTAGAACAAAATAATCGATACGTAAACCTTTTATCGGATCAACTGGAGAACTGGCAATAATGTTCTTAAATTGGTTGTGGCATCTCAACTTTCAATTTTTTTGTTTCTCATGTAATCTATATGTAATTTTAATGAATAAAATAAATATTTATGAAAGTATTCAATGGCTGTATTTCATATAATATAACATAAGATTTAATATTGAACATGTTTGAAAAACTCGCGATTAATTGAGAATCGCTTTTAACATCGTTGATGTATGTGATCGATTTTTCAAAAACCATCCAAACTACAACCCTTTGACATATTGTGTTGTTTTCAATTAAAGGCAAGGGAATCTATTCTATACAGTCTTATTTTGAACTTATATTCGATTATTAAGCTTATTAATGGTACTTTAAAGGCAATAGAATTAATTTCAATGTACGGGAAACTATAAAATCTATTAGAATAGATGACCATTTCATTGCCCGGCACAAAATTCATGAAACACTTCCAAAATATAGTTTTATTATTAAGTACTTCTGCGTAGATCAGAATGTTTCTTAAGATTTTCGCGTTTTGTTTTTGCTCTATCATCAGACGTTTTGTTATCATGATAATTATTAGCAGCATATAATAATTTAATTTGGTTCCCCGCCATTTAAATTCACCATTTTGTAGAAATAAAATCTATCAATCATATATTATTTATTTGTGATATTGCCATACGTACTGTTTTGAAAATTATGGGGTCCGATTTGACCAGTCTTCTTTAAAACTCATATTAAGAATTGTCTACTCAGTGAAGGATATTATACTGTAAATGAATATTTAAACAACGAAACTGCTTGGTGTTAATTATGGCTTAATTTTATGTATATTAAATTATGTATCAGTGAGCTTGTTGATTAGACATTTTTTAATTTCACGGGCGATCCATCAACATCCACGCGCCCGACTCTCGCTGAGTGTCTAAATGTGAATATATATAATTCATAAACATATCAGGTCTCACTCATTCACAGCGAGAGTCGGGCGCGTGGATGTTGGTGGATGACCCGTCGGCGTAATACTTAAAACATGTACAACATTATAATATTTCACTTGTACCTATTTACACGGTACATGTAAAAGACTTGTAACACACAAAACAATATGAAATTCATCATCTAAAAATCAAAGTTTAACTGACCTTCAATTTCTTAGGGTCGGTGAAGATTTGATTAAGTTTGTGGAGGTGTTCCCTGATGGCGAGCGCGTCCAATATGAAGTCGCCGCCCTCGTCTGTCGTGATCTGAATCAGGCACGTGATACCTGTATATATAACACATCACGTTACACATTACTCGATACATACGTCGCTGTCAACTTATTAAACCAGCCGTTTAATAAAAAGGCTAGTTTTTTAATCGTATGGCGTTGTTAAAAACAAGGCCAAACTAAGAGAAGCTAAAAACGTTATGTAATAAGAATCAAATTACATCACATTCACATGGGACCTTTCCCATAGATGGAATCGAATAGGGAGAATGGGCCGTGACCCACAACGCGTGTCCAGTGCGGATTGGTGGATATTAACGACTGCAGATGGAGCCAAGACCAACGACTTAACGTACCTTCCGAAGCACGGAGTCAAATCTATATATTATAAAATAATTCAAACATTTTATTAAGAAGAGTAACATCACAAAGCACATCAGGTTAATTAGGAACTTAATTGTCGACCTATTATGGCTATCAGATATAACAGGTGTCGAGTGTGACTAGTGCATACGAACCCTGGTATGTCCTATAGGAGTGATGTTCGAGATCGACTGCTAGTTCGTCGACTGTGGCGAGATGTGCGATTAGCCGGTCGAGGGCCGGCTCCGTGTCCACCATGGTGAGGGGCGTGTCGTCAGGGGGCGGTGGGAACGGCGGCTCCGGACACGGGTCCAGGAACCGATTGGGCGGCCGATACAATTCCAGCTCCACTTTATATGGATGCTCGTACCTGACAGGGACATGTCAGGGCATGTAAACATTATATATATTTCCCGGTGTCTAGTATCGTTGTTGTGTAATAAATATTTAGAGTACTCGCAGGTTATAGACTTTAAATCCGAGTCAGCCGAGAGATTAGTAGAGTTGGTCTGCTAGTGCCCACGCCGGGCCAATTAAACGGTCGGGTTGTACTTAAGTGCGCATATCTACCGATCGCTTACATTCGCTCGAAATGGTAAAAAGAACAGCCGCGTAGAAAGTTACTTATACTTAATATAAGTTGGCAATTCTTACTGTGTACACGCAACGCGCGCACACACACACACACCATACTGATCAATCGGTCGGCCTACAGTTCGTCGATAATTTAATTTAAAGGCAATTGTTGAGCCTTTAAATTTTTTAATGATACTGAATCCCTGTTGTTCGGTTCGGACTTGCACACCTTTTCATACTGATTCTGGCGCCAACAAGTCATTATATCAACTGATATAATTACTGTAGCCTGTAATGATTGCTTCTTTTAAACTCTTTTATTAATTTCTCTATTTTTAATCACAAAAACATATTAACTTCCAAAACCCTCGTAATTTAAATGTCAATATTTATTTCAATAATAATATTGGTCTAATTATGTTATTGACATAAGTCAATAACATAATTAGACCCTGGCCGTGTATGTGCGATGAGTACATACCCGATCGCAGTCCCCTCGTCGTTGTAGAGTATGGTGAGAGCGAGAGGTTTGATGTTGTTCGGTTTGTCGGATATACGCGGCACCCACAGACTGTCCGAGTTGTCGATGGCGTCTTTGAAGCACAGCTGCGGCCGCGGAATGTTTTTGGCGCCTATGAACATTGTTGAGCCAACCTGTAGTTCATCAAAAATGTAAATAACCAAAGTTTTCTAAACGTAATCAATAAAATACGGCGATACATTAAGGTGAAATATTGTGTGTCACACCTTTGTACATTTTCTGCATAGTTGTGACGTAGCGAGCCCCCACTTTTAATGCCTATTATCTAAGCCACTTCTGGTTAAATTGAAGCGAACAAAATACAAATCTAATATTTTTCTGTTCTAACTGACAGATTAAATATAATTTCTTGTTTTTTACCCAGGCATTGTCCCTACTCTTCATTGTAGCGAGCACAGTAGACCGTACTGTTTTAGTTTCTATTTAAACTTGTTTTTTCATATAGATTACAAAAACTTCTTAATAAATAGCACAAACATGTCACTCAATTGGCACGGTGTGCTTTATATTTTATTAAACTGTGACTTAGGTTGTGTCAACACAAGGAAATAAAAAGACACAAAAAGTGGTAGGAAAAGGAGACAGTGGTGTAAAGAAAGAAGGAGGAATAAGATTCAGCTGGTGTCGTCAAGCAGGTGCACCTGCTAGTTTAGACTGCGCTGACGTGAGACTGCAGTGAATATAACGTTTTCTTAATACTGAAATATAGTAAGGGAAGGATAGATATGGTGTGATTGTTATTTTCTGAAATTACTTAATATATAAACATTTTAAAATACAATATTCTTGTAGCCCATGTTTGTAACTATGCTTTAGATTCAATGTTCGATCATCAATATATAATCATTATTTAGGTTCACAGTGTGTATATGATGCTTCAGGAAATTACCAATATAAGGATATATTGTTTGGTCTCTGAAATATTCATATGATACTAATAACGTGAAATCAATCTTCACTATAGATTTATTTGACGCTAATTAATATCGGGTACTGGAATATAAATTTGTTTACCTGTATTTTAGCTATGACCGGGGCGTGGTTCCAGGAGGCCACCTGGGGCCGCAGGCCGTCCAGGAACCGCTCGCTCGGCCTGTTCACGCCATTCACCACGTCTATGTTTACGTTCACACGGTCCAATAAACTATCGTTCGCGTCCACTATCTTCTCCATATTGTTTTCGTTATCAAAGCTGCGATTATAACAAAGATATTTTAGTCATTAACAAGTGTCTTTTAAAGAGTATAATGGAACGATATTTTTAATGCTGTTACACTTTCCCGTTTTTGGAAATTCCTGCCTTTTTAGATTTAGGATTTGGTATGTGAGTAATTCTCAAAATATAATAACATCAACAACAATTTGGCTAATTTGTTACATACCTATAACTAAATATTATGGTACGCATAACATTATGTATAAAATCTGAATTGTGTGGCCAAGAATGACAGTCTTTCTGTTTACAGTTGGCAAATCTCATATTGGACACCTCACCTTTGTTGTGAATATAATTTTACTGTAACCAGTGATGGATTAACTTTTTAACCTCTTTGGGGGCCATAAACAGCACCAAAAAATTGCTAGCACAAAGGTATGTTTGTAAGTTTTTTGAAAATCTGTGAATTTTATACTTTACATGTTTCAATTGACCTTTATACATATATTCAGTATGTCTTTATACATAACTTCAATACTGATTTACTTATTGATGATGGGATGAACACAGATAGAGGATTATTTAAGAAAAAAGCAATAATCTTAATCTAACATTTACTAAAACCATTAGTAAATCTTACCATTTCAACTTCACAGCTGGCAACTCGGTGGCCAATATTTGATTAGACTGTAAAATAACATGTTCACCTAGCTGACACGTCACCACATTGAAATCAGTGAACGTCTTGAAGAGGTCGTGTGAGGCTCCAGCAGGCAACTGATTCGAAGATCTTATTGACTTATTTACTTTTGTGTAACCACCCTATAGAAAAACAAAATCTTTAATCATTACAGATGTATATGACTGTATGGAGGATGAATTTAGTGTAGAACATATTTCAGTATAGAATTATTTTAATATGGAAATTTGAAAAATAATAATCTTTTATTTATTCAGTTCATTTTAAAAGAAGTTTTTTTTTTTTTATCAAAAAATGTGACTAATTGGTAACATCATTTTACTGTTATGGAACTACTTAAAAATCAAAAATAACTTCATTCATTAATTTGTTATGTTATTAGCTTTATGACTATTTAATTGAATAGTTGAAATGTTTATGGCACTAACTAGAACAGTTATTATTTTTCCCTCAGTTTAACAAAGAGAATACTTATTATTAATTCAGCACATTCTACTTTACATGTTGAATTTGCATATTAGGTATGACAATCATATAAAAATACATACTCAATGTAATAAAAATGTGACTAATTTGAACAACCAAGTGTCTGTAGTTTGTACAGATTGTTTTAGTAAAGGTCATATACATGTAGGAAATTTTGCAATGGATACTTTAAATAGGTATTACAATGTTGTTGGAACTGTAGCTACTTCTGTAATAGATGCTGACAATGAATTAATCCACAAAAAATGCTTTCGGAGATTCTGATAACACCTCACTCATACATATTGAACATTTAGCAAATGAACTTTAAGTCACACAATCTATCTAAATAAGTATGGAAAATACATATTTTTATCTTAACACAAAACATTAATACATCCTTAGATGGTAATGATAAAATAAATGTTGTTAGAATGCTATTGCTCAGTGGCCAAATATACTCAACAGATTTTAACCCTCAACTATTGTAGCCTCATTAAGTAGCAGGTAAGGCAAACACTTGAGGCATTGTTCTTGTATAGGATCTAGAACCAAGAATAATTTCTTGTTGTAAATCGACAAAATTTCCAGATGCTCAATATATAACTAACTGAAAATTGTTAAAAACTGTACCTTGAATCAAGTAGGTTTTCAATTATTGGTATGTATGTACTTTTTTAAATATAAACTTTTTAGAGATATTGTTATGAGTCTCATGTTTTTTAGTAAGGAATTTTACCAGCCATATTTAAATGTTCATATAGTTTGTTGGTGCAAACTAAACTTAGACCAATCCTTTAAAACTGCATTTTCAATTGTTAATTTGACTAAGATAAGAGAAGCAAAATAACATATTTATAAATTACAGAATAATATGAAAACAAACCGAAATGAGAAATAGATATTTTGTAGTTATGAGACTGGTACAACAGTACTGGCCCTTTATTAAAATTTGTGATTTAGTTTTTATAGTTTTTTAGTATACTAGTTATGTTATCACAAGGAGTTTGTATGGAAAAAAGAAATAATATAACTCAAAAATCCTGCAAGATATGGTCAATTTATCTTTACGGGTGCACCATTTATCTTTTTGATTGCTGTTATCTCACTGGTTGCTTCCCTTAAATGCGGTCAGGGACCAGTTACATTTTTTAGACAGATTGGAGAAGTTCAATCCTCCTTAAAGATTTATCAAATAAATATATTATTTAAAATGCCAGTACTTTCTTTTGAAGTGCCGATTAAATCTACTACTCAAAGAAAGGCTCATGACATCAGATATAAACTTGAAAACCTTTGTTCATTGTCTTCATTGAAAATGATAACGAAAGTGACACGTGATAACAATACGACAACAACGGACGTAAAATACAGGTAGAAAAACGAACTCTTAAAATATTTACGTCCAAGAAAACTGAACAAAAACCCACTGTTATGATAGTGATCACTTATTACGTACATCGCACATACAATTTATAGGTTATGTGTTTATCAAAAAATAATTATGCAAACCTTCCACTGCTATTATTTAGACATAAAAAAACTACACGTTGATGTGGTTTAGACATGTGCAATAAATACAAAATAATTTAAACGTAACACCACTTTGTGTTTATTGTTGTCAAGTGTGATAGTATTTACAAATAGAACTAACCTGTGTGACTGAAGTCAAATGAGGATAAAACTCTGGAGCCTCCGGATTTAGCACTGAATTCATTTTTGATAAAATTAAAAGCAATAACACCAGTTAAAATAATGAATTCAGGCAATTCCTATTTTATTACATGCTAGCTGTGAAGAATGAACGAATCATTTTGAAAGTTTGAAACGTGAACGCGAGCGAATAAGGAGCGAATGAATATTGGTGGAATATTGATTGATTGATTGACATATAAAGTGATGTGTCATGCATTGTATATAGTGATGTACCGAAAAATTAATTAATGTAGTGTAGTCTAAGCAGTACATTATTCTTTTATATTAAATAATGAGATATGATTAAATAATTAAATATTGAGATGACCGTGATTACATAGGTACTTACATTTTTTTATGAAACTCACCCGAGCTCTATTTATATGTACAATCGTAATGAAAACTACAAAATATAAAACCACAAATGGCAATTTCTGATATAAAAGCATGCTTAACCATTGGTCTTGGCTATACCTGCAGTCGTTAATACCATCCTAGACTATATGTACAGTAAACTTAACTTATTAACGTGAAAGAGATAAAACTCGTTTAATTTTTATTGACAACTGGCTCTACAATACGTGTAATATAGAAACGCTGTTTTGAATGCAGTCGGTTTATTGCAAACTTATCACTGTAATGCAAATTAAATAGTTTACGTACTCGCATGTTTTCACCGTTCGATCCGTTTGACGTTTACTCGACTAACGCGATAGTAAAGTCATTCGCTTAAGTGTGTGGAGCTCAAACTATGCACTCTGAAAACATATTCGGTGCGAAAAATAATCGTTTTATACTAATTTTATTGTAATTCAAAACGTCATATCATAATTGTGAATTTAGTTCTCACTTCGTAAATTCAAGTGAGAAGTTTTTACTTGCGTTTGCGTAAAATTCACCGAAGTTCGTGAAAATATATGACCCAAACTCGCGATATTTACGTTCTCTGACTTAATAATATAATGAGGATATGATGACAACGACGGCAAATTTAAATTGTCCTTCAATATATTTTATTTTTATATTAAGAATATTATAAAACGTTAGACGTTTGATAGATACATATTTTTACTATATGTTATTAAATCAAAAGTAAAGTACCTAAAACTTGTATAATTTTAATAGACAGCTAGCTAACTCAACAGTATGTGCATTAAAGAAACGCTGTTTTGAGTACGGTTACAAACGTTCAATACTCAGTGATTTAACGCAAATCGAATACTTAACGTAAATGTCACTTAAACACATATTTTCACCATTTGATGGTTTGATCTGTTTGGAGTTAGAAAAACCATTCATTTAAGTTAGTGGAACTCAAACTACTTTTTGACCATCTTGTTTTACTTACGATTTTTATAGTCATCGTCGTTTTTAGTCAGTAAATAAAAGTAGATATTCTACTTGAATTTCGATTTCGATTAATAAAATTTTCAAACAATTGATAACACCAAGAAACAGATTCTTTGAAATTCTTTTGCTTTTCTACAATGAAAAAAGGTAAGTCAACAAAAGTCAATGTGACATTTATTTGTTGTCATTTTTATCGTTTTTTTTTGTACAGCTCTTAAATTTTCTATTATAGCAAAAAATTAAAAGGTTTAAGTTGAGTGACCATTTCCTTCTAAAATGTTTCCAACACTACAGGGTATTTGATTCTTTTTTAGACTGTAGTTGCTGTCTTATCGCACTACGCAGTTGCGCATTGTGAAATCGGTACGCAATCTGTGGAGTCTGCGTTGTGGCGAGCTAGCAAGGGATAGAGAATACCTTCGGTATTCATCGAGTGACCCGTCGGCCTATACGCGAGGTATGTATTGTATCATGATGTCGATATTTTGTGGGATAGGCTAGGGATTGTCTGGAGCCACCTATATTTATTACTTTCCATGTATACTTACGGATTTGTTCAACTGTGTTGATTACCAGCATCACATGAATGAGGATCAGCTAATACGCTGGAATTCTTGTTTGTCATGACTTTAGAGGATCCGTTTTACGTCGTCAAAGAGTAAGTGTCCAGCTTGTGTTACCTATATCTGTTGGGGTGGGATTCTCCTCATCTTGCTACAGAACGTAATGGCGTCACTTCGCCTTCATTTTAATTTTGTTGACTAAGATCTCTCCTTTTGTTTAATTTCTTTAATTATTACCTGTTATACTATAACTTTCAATATATTTATTCATTTTATACATTTTAAGGTTTGTTTTATATCTAATCAAATACTTAATTGACTGGATTCAATTTTTATTTTGATTGTTAATGCAGTGAGGTGTTTAAAGCATTAAATAAAACAAGAGGCCTATATTTACGGTGGCAAGAAATCTCTAAAACTCCAGCAGTGCAACTGCCCAATAGTCCAGAAGTAGAATGGACATCCACAGAACTGCGGAATGCTTTACGTAGTATTGAGTGGGATTTAGAAGACCTTGAAGATACCATCAATATCCTTTTCTAATACATGTAAATATTATGTTTAAGCATGTTCTTTTAATATTTTGTATACCAAACTACGTCATCATGCAGAAGTTATGTGACTACTAAGAAGCATTGTCACTTAACTTTTCTATATTGCCACTTATCTGGGTGTTATATTACCTTTGTTAAGTTCCATAGTAAAAATCCTTTAACTACTTAATCTAGGAACTGAGAGATGTATGCAATGTTTCTAATTTATTTATCCGTCTATTATAGATGATTTTCTCTGAAATTATTTTCTTCTTTTTTTTTAATTTTGTTAAAATCTTTGTTAAGCTTGCTACATTAATATGAAAAACCATTAGATATTTGAGTTATATGAAACTGAACATGTAAACCAATTATAGGAGGATATTACATGAAATACATAACAAACTATAAGGTACACACTTAGAGAAACTGATTAAATTACTATTTCATTAATGTAATTGTATGTATAAGAGGAATTAAAACTTACATATACTTATTGTACTCATTGATTTGGAACTGCAACAGACATGTAAGTTGTGCAATGAGTTTTAAAACATACCCTCCAGGTTAATCTCCATCCAACTATAATAAAAAGGATATTACTCTAGCTATACTGTGACACATTGAATGAGAGGGCTCATTGTGTGAATCTCAAATATATTTGTTTTTCATATAATATCATTTTATTAGTGTTTAAATTTATTAATATGTTATGATTAAATTTTAGTTTCATGCCAAGCTTTTTGCCACAGCGAGTTAATTTATACAATCGGTCTTTTTATGCCTTGCCAAATGCTAACTGATAACTTCCCTGTTCTGTGGGACTGTGATACCTTTTTTCATACTTTGTTGTTAAAGGTAGTTTCTTATTAATGTTAATTTACTAAAATTATTCACTTTGACTGAAAATTGACAATATATAAACATATTGATGCTTCCCAGTAGAAAATGTACTTTTCCATACAGTTTCTGGACTGAGTGTTGTGTAAGGTGACCCTATGTTGTTTCAGATTTTCATAACATTTTCAGGCAATCCCATCCCAATGGAGTCTCATCTCAGATTGTCAGGGACAGTGTTTTTTTAGTAAGATATTTTTTTTCAGTATAGTGAATTCAAAATTGATTTAATATAATATTATTAATTGGTTGAGTAAATTATGCATAGTTTCATTTAAAAAAAACTTGATTGTATGTTTTTGTTTAGTTTTTATAAATGCAAAGCAAACATGAATTTTTGAATTGTAAGCTTTCTAAATATATGTCATAAATGGGTCTTCCCGAGTAACAATATAAAGAAGATTCCTCAGAATCTTGCACATTCTTTATTCACTTCATGTGATGTGTTCCCCATTACTACTTTATTATCAGTTTTAAGTATTATAACATCTGTGGCTAAGCTAATATTTTTATTATACATTATCCAATATTGTTTATTTGTATTCGTGTCTTTGTTATAAAATATGAAAACTCTGATGATGATTTCCTTAACTGATTTTCTCACGTATAGTAGAGAAGAACTCGTCTAAATTTAAAATAGACAATAAAGAAATTAGCGACAGAAGAAATTTCATAGAAGCCACGAAGCAAGAAGTGAAAGTAAGTGCTTATTTAAATTTTACTTTTGCACCTTGTATCTGTCCTATTTTAAATATTCTTGTTGTTGCATATATTGCCTTATCAATTCTCCCTTTTTTTGCATGAATGTATGCCAAATACAAAAAAATTAAAGAATCTACCACATTTTAATTAGATTGAATAATATAGACCACAGTTTGTCATAATTTGTGCTCCCCTCCTTGTTAATCTGGCTCCCCTACTTGTAGTGGTAGTAGAGCTGTCTACCTCCACTCAGCTTGTTATATATTGTTCTATCCCTGGCAAATAGAAAGATATAAGCGACGCATTGATACTGGTCCATTTTCGCATAGAGCAACCGGGTGTTTCTCCTATGGTTGACTCTCCCATCATTACCCGTTGCAGTACTTCGTACCTGTCATGCGAAGACATGCTTCAGATACGCAACTTTGCTTTGTTTAATGGACCGGTATAAGTTTGCGATTTTGCTTTACTCTGTGCAGATTCACTTCTTCCGTAGTGATCTTTGTGTCCAGGATATTGCCGCCACACGACTGCACGTCCACATTTCAAACGCTTTTATACGTCTCCTTGAATAGTCTTCGTATTTATATAGAAGAAGAAGAAGAAGAAACATCAATTTATATATGAACTAAGGGCCGTATTTATAGCACTGACGAAGGCGAACAAGATATGAACTTTAAGACCGTTATAACAGAGTATACTTTCTTTGTTTTTTTCAAAGATTTTTTAAACTTATTTCGGATTCATTGTGTCCTATTTTTTTTATGAAATGTATACCGAGAGCATTCCAAACCACTTTTTATACAACGCTTACTGCGAACGTAAGTGTTGTATAAAATCTTAAGTCGCATACAAGCTGTTTGTTTGAAGGACTCGGTCTAACTGCGTTAGCTAATACACGATCAATGTGTACATTATGTTAGAGAGTGTTAGTTCGATCGATTTCGACACATTCTTTATTCAAAACGAATGGAGTTATGCTGACGTGTAAAAGTAATTATTTTACACTTATCCAAATTATTGCTGCAATTCTTAACAATCATCGGGATTTTGAAGTATCTCGTAGATATTTGTATCATTTGCATATTATACATAGGATAATGGGACCAGACAAAACAAAGATATAAGGGAATTAGAAAAGTATCTTTATGGGATCTATGAGGAACTCACGAAGGACCATTACAGAATCCACACCGTAAAACCTTCAAGCGCAACAGCTTGAATCCGATTCATTCTGATCTTATGTCAACTTTGCTAAAGAAAATACAACTTAGGAAGTAAGAAAACTTATTCACTTGAGTATTATGCTCCTTAATCCCCCCACACTGCTTTGTATGTGCGGCGACTGTGCGGATGACGCATGATTATGTGTGTTATCAAAATTTAAATGTAAAACTTTTATTCTTCGTAGGTGATGAAAGGCAAAATGAGCCTTAATCGGAACAGGGACAGTGACGGGACAGCTCGCGAGCCCCTGCTCGGCGACGAGAGTCCAGTGCGCTTCGGTAACTCGTGGACCGCCACGCCAAAGTACTCCAAGTACTCCAAGCTAGCTAGCCAGGTGAGGATAGCGTCCAATAGTACATGAGGATATATATAGTAATTACACTCTCTCACTCTCATGAGTGCTTTTGTGTATCCATCAGTCGGCATTCATACAATATTCTTTATAATTCCTTTTGAATCACTAGAGTGCCTGCGGTTTTGAAACATTTACAATTAAACATTGAGACTATTTTTATAAGCAACTTTTCTTTTAATTATTAGCATTTTTCATTAATAATTCTGAAAGTACACTTATTCAAAAATGAAATAGCTCCTAACAATTTTAATTAAAACAAAAAAATACAGTAACTCGAAATCAGAATAAGTATGTTCATTTAAACAGTGGACGGACAGTGGCACACCAGACCTAACCCATACTTCTTTGAGACGCTTGACCGATTTTTCGTTAGATATGATGTTCAGTACTCAAATGGTGAGATCAGCAGTATGTTAAGGTGGTGCAATGAAATACTGGTAGAATTCTTCAATCTTGATTTTGTTTGCAATTGGTATAACATTAAATCACTTACCACTAAATTCTAATATACTGACTCTATGCCTGTCTCGATCAGAAAGAAAGATTACTCACCAGCAAAACACGAACAAGCGAATTCGAATACGGAAAATGTAATAATTCAAAATATTATCGGCCAACATCGACCATAAATTATCCGAAGAGTAAACCTATCTATAGTAATGTGCACGGACGTTACAGTACCCCATCATGGGTAGTATTGCCGTATATAATTGTACTTACACAAGTATTTGTATTTGTACGCAGGCCGATAGTCCGAATCGGTTCGATTTTGACAGCGACATGATGGGTGTGCAAGACAGGATGCTCCGTGGTCAAGACGAGCAGCTGCGAGCGCTGGGCGACACGGTGGGCTCTCTCAAAACTGTCTCCAAACAGATAGGATCGGAGTTGGACGAACAGACAGTGTGAGTATATAATCCAGCCAATGTAGTTAGGAATATTTGGCTATATGCGCTTGCGTATTTATTCAGCAAAGTGTTTGTCGGGTGCATTAATAAGCAGTATATGACAATCCAACCATACACATAATTCAGAAAAAGCTGTGTATGTATGTGTCTAATAGTCTATTATAACCTAACGATATGGCAGAAGTAAATTTAATGCTTTTTATATAAAAAAAAAAAAAAAAGTATTATTCAATATTATAGTTAATAAGTAAGTAATTCTATCATATTTTGAACAATTGAAGTTGTCTCGCATGAAATATCTCGTACATACGTTTCATTATGAAAGACTATATTAATACATGTATATAGCGCGATCACGTGATATATTACGTAGACAAAAGCGTGTGGAATGAAATTGGAATTCGTTATTAATTTACCATACTTTACTTCTTTTAACTGTTGCGCGATCTCGCAGTTATTATAAAAAGAAACCCTAAGTTTCTCGTTTACGTTTTAATAGATAACATACAACAAAATTCTACTATTTTTTTGTTGCCTGAAATTTTATGGCTGTTGTCTATTAATTCGGTGTCGCTGATTTAATATCTACACTATTTCTTTCTGACGGCTATAGTTTTTGCCTTGCGACTCTGTAAAAATCCCAACAAGAATTCGAATTCACTAAGGTGTATCATGGCATCCGTTCAATCTTAAATTGGTTATAACGTGTCGTGGCATAAGTGAAGTGAGTTTCAAAATGAAATAAAAATAGAATATCCGAGACACGTACAATCAATCGGAGCTACTCCCGATTGATTGTACGTGTCGTGGTACGTGTCGTGGTGGCGTAGTGGATAAGCGCCGTGGCCCGCGATCGTAGTCGTTAAGCAACTTTTGCAAGGGTCGGTCATGGGATGGGTGACCAAAAAATTATTATCTTGTGCTACTCCGTGCTTCGGAAGGCACGTTAAGCCGTTGGTCCCGGCTGCATTTGCAGTCGTTAATACCCTCCAATCCGCATTGGGCCAGCGTAGAGGGTCATGGCCCATCCTCCTTAACCATCCATAAGGAAGGCCTGAGCCCCTGCAGTGGGGACGTAAAAGGGCTGGTGATGGTACAATCAATCAATTTTATTATTTTTATACAACAAATGGAATGCCACACAATTGAATTAAAAATCGGGTTCGTGTTATTATAGAATCGCGTTGCGTATGCTTAATGTTGGGGTTGTTCTATTTAAAAATAATTGTGTGTTACAATATTCACATCACGAAGTACTTTTGAAACTAGTATCAACTATTTCTGAAACAACCTGAAGATTAAATGTATTGAAGTACGTAAAAAGAGTGTATTTTCATTCAGTTGGTATTGAGGATTTCCTTTGGTCATCACTGACAAACACAAGATAAGATAAATAAGAAAAGATACAAATTTAATAGACCCCATTTCAAGTATGTATCGAACAAAAATGATATGACGGGAATCTAGAAAACAAGAAAATGATTATCTTTTCTTTATACGGCATTAATAGAATAAACTGGCCCAAATTATTTACCCTAGCTTATTATCTATAAATCCACCAGACACGTGGTCTGGTGTCGAGTCATTTTCACAAACACATATCTTCGTTCTATTCAAAACCACCAGCACTTAGCAAAAAAGCTCTCTTTGAAGTAATGAATAGGGGAAGACGAATTTTAATACAGATATTTCTTCTAAATACTCCTCCATGAATCGACTGGATACAGAGAGAGCTTAACACATTAAGAGACTAATGATTTTTTGACTAACATTGACAAAAAAAAGGCTTGGAACAAATTCATTTGGATGGCAAAAAGCATGAAAGTTCTGTGGAGCAGATTGTCACAATTTCAGCAACTTGGTTTTTATAAGACCATCGAGGTGCACTACCTACACGGCCATAAGAACAATTTCCCCGAAAATTTTAAGTCATCTATATGAAGAACAAGGGGTATAGTTCCATTATGGTATTCGGACTATAAAGAATGGTTACTGGAGTGCCCACATAAAGACTGTCCACGGTTGGATCTTCAAAAATAGTCTTCGTGAAGTAGGTAAAGCAAGAAAATCATATGAAAGATGTCTTTTTTTTATAAATAGTGATTGTTTTTTAAAATAGCACTTTTTTTTTCTTGCAATTCACAGTTTTCTCGTATCACAAAAACTATAGCTGTTAAAAAAAATCTGGCAGTAGTTCTGTCTGATATCAGCACGTCGAAAATATATAATATCAGCCATAACATTTCTAGCCACAAAAATTCTGTACCCTTGTGTAGTCAAATAAAAAAAGTAATTGTAAGTTTTATATATAACTATTAAGTGACATCATTTTATCGACCAAACTATATTAGAGAACTTTTATATTTTAGTGACAAGCTCATTATCATGAGTTGCCCGTTGATCGACTGTTAAGACTAACATCCAGTTGCACAAACGTCCATTAAACTTATCATTAGTTTAAAGCGACATTAGCAATACAAATTTCACAAAAATTAGAGGTTAAAGGCGTCATTAAACCTTAATGGACGTTTGTGCAACTGACCGTATGTAGACTGAGTTATTATTATTTTTTCTTCTTCAGACTGTATCAGTGTAGGCCTCCTTCAGCATTTTCCATTCATCTCGGCATTGAGCTCTTTCCAACATTTGGAACCTGCAACCCTTTTGATGTCGTCTTTTCAGCGCATTTGTGATCTCCACTCGAGGAGCCTCTTGCACCAAGAGTTTTCGTCACGGGCCACATGTCCTGAGTGACACATGAGTTATTATTGTAATGCTAATTATTTGACAGTATGCTCGACGACCTGAACACGGACCTGGAGAACACCGAATCCAAGCTGGACTCAACAATAAAGAAGGTCGCCAAAGTGCTTCATATGAACAATGGTGAGCTGTTACTATATGCATGTGTGTGTATTGACTTATACAAAACATGGTGGTATATGTACGAATTGGTAATTTAGTATCGATATATAGTCTCCGATAAAACCTCTAACTATATATAACTGAGATAGAATGTTTGTATTGCAATAAGTGCGCTATTTGTCTCTAATTTTAAGCAACAGAGAAATAAACGTAACAGAATATTGTATTCTGTACTCGGCACGAAAAGAAATCCAAATGGGAAAGTAACATTTACGTGCGTTTATTAATCGCACGAATTTTATAAAAGTTTAAATTGGTATAAGTAAGTAAGGACATATTTGTTTTATTTCTTTTTTAGTTTTTATTTTATTCTTTCTTATGTTTTTAGTTTGGGTGTAGGATTTCCTTTACTTTGGTGGCGGGTATTGTATTATTTATTATTAATTTTTGATTATATGTGACTACGGAATAACGTTAAAATAAATGTAAATTAAAAAAACAAACCAATAGTAGATCGTTTAATTTTTGATTTCTGTGTCCTTAATATTTCTGCTTATTTGTTTCAGATCGGCGCCAATGGCTCGCGATCGGTATCCTAGTCGGCCTTTTAGTGATAATCCTAATACTATTCGTCATAATCTGAACTCTACTCAGTTGTATTTAAGGCCAGTTTAGTTTAAGTGTATCTATGTAAAGGATATATTTATTCTTGTATAAAGTAGAGGTAGAGCGGTCCCATTGATTAGATATACACGAGTACAGTAAATATGGGGAATATTCGAGGACCGAAGCTACCTGTGCTGATGGTGGTAGAACAAAAATTAATGGGAAAATCGGTGCACTCTGATTAATATATTATTTGAGAGATCTCATTTATGATGTTTTTTTTGTAACGACGGGTCGGTACTGCAATCCAATGCTAAAAGATACAAGAGCTCTGAGTTTTTTTTTCATATTAAATTTGGTTATATATTTTTGGTGATTTGTTAAGAAAAATTCGTCAAGTGAGTATGAGTTGAACATTGCGTTAGCTCTAGGCTTTTGATAAATCTTCCTTAAGCTAAAAAGATATACAGCAAGTTGCACAAACGTCCATTACAATTTATATTAGTTTAAAACGACATTACCCATACAAATTTGACATCCATTAAAGCTTAAAGGCATCATTAAATCATAATGGACATTTGTGCAACTGACCAATAATATAGGTAATTATATTCTTAATGAAAAATGGTTAATATATCCATTTGGTCCCTGGCACTCTTGAGTTTGGATCCGAACCCATGACCTTTCCCAATCCGGGCGACCGTTCTAACCGCTGAGCTACCAAGGACCTGAATTTTTCATTAATAATATATTTCAGTAGAGCATTGTGAATCCAAATTTGATGAAATATAATAAATAGTTAATTATATTTAAAAAAAAAAGTACCATTTATGTGTATTATAATATACATCACTGTTATATTCCCGCTACTTCGCTCACGTAAATTATATCTTCACCATCACCCGCATCTGATGATTTTTCGTGATTGGGTTAGTACGTGAGATGATTACTCAACAAACAAACCAATTTAGCTATTTATAATATTAGTATAGATGCATTATTGTTATCACATGTCACCCGAGATGCATACTACCAAATCTAAACAAAGCACTGTAACTTATAAAAGCAAGTGGTGTTAGGACGCCACAGTAAATATTTCGGGGAATGCATGATAATGCTCAGGACGCTGGCCGAGTCAGTCCATGGAGTACATCGACATCATACAAAAAATGTTTCTGTACAAATGAGATATTCGAAATGATATGTTACACAAAATCTAAACAGATACCATCGACAACGTACCACAGTGGGCATTCACCTTTATAATAAGTCTTGTTTCAATAACAATAAATTGTAAAATTGCTTATCGCGCGCCTTCTTACTGTATTCGTGTTCATCTGTATCGGATGCGGCGAGTATACATTTTTTTTTTTTGTAATGCACAAATTTGTTTGGTACAGTCAGAGTCATATATTTGGGTACAGTAAAGATATTTTAATAAAAAAACTAAAAATTAGACAGATATCACAAACATTGCTCGGATTCCAAATTAACTAGACAAAGTACTCTTGTTCAAAGTAGATTTCTAATTATATTAATAAGTGTTGAATTAAATATGATTCACCGACTATTTCGTGGTCCTTAATTAACAAACGATTTATTTGTCGTAAAATGAAGATTGTTAGTCAATGTAAAATTTATTCTATCTTTAAAGTTAGATCGAGTTACACATATTGTGCTAAACTTCATCAAGATCTGTTAAGTAATTCGGAGTGAGGAGTTAACGAACATATTATTAGTCCATGATATAGTTAATTTTATAAAATCAGATTATGCATACGTTTTGCACTTATTTATTGATACATATTATATTTTGGTTTCGTATGTTAAAATATTGCAAGCAATATTTCGATTGCGTTACGATTGATTATAAACAATTATGATTATAAATATGGCGATTGAAATTAGAAATCAATTTTATTTTTTATTAATTTCATATTAATCTTAGATTTCATAGTGTAAAAGAGATTTGAAATATCAGAACAGCATAGATATTTCTGAAGTATTTTTATATACTAAATAGGTACTATAAATTGGCCTTTAAAAATATATCTAATAACTCTGATTGTTTTGATTTCTTACTGTGAACTAATTTAATACTGACTGTACATGTTGACTTTTTATTAATCAATATTAAATCCTATAGAGGTCAATTTAAGATATGTTTTCTGTTGTACATTATAAAGTAAGGTCTCCCGGGGCTATTGTGGCCATTGAATATATGTGACTTGAGTCGAATTTAGTTGTCCCTAACTAAATAAACTTAGCCATGAGACAAATCGTTGCCGCTGTTTTGAGAACAAGTACCACCTGTTAAATTGTGGTGTTGTTGGTTTACTTATTAATGGTGGCATTTTTAACAAATTTATGGAGATAACAATATTCTATAATGCCTTTCTTCATATGTCGCTGTGAAAAACTTCACTAAAAATGGTATATTTTTATTAATAATATAATTAAAAGATGTTTGTTTTTATACTGAATCATTAAATCGAATCCTTTTTATTTATCCTTTTTATGTCTAGTTTAATTATGCAATATTTTGAAGTTCCAAGTTTACCCTCTAGTAGCTTCAATGGTCTTGGGGGGACCTTACCGTTTTTGTTATGTAAAAAATTAATTTAATTTTCCTAGTGAAAAGATGTTATTAACATTCTATGTATATTTAGAAATACAATAGTCTAAATCATAGCGTAATTTGTTGTCAACTATGCTAATTGTTTTTTTTTTTATGAATTTATTATGTTCCTAATAGATTTTTCCTTAGTCAAAGCGTTGAAATAAAATGTACGCAATCAAATGTATTTTATATATATAACAATATTTTTTATTCAGTTTTTTAACCTTTTATTACCTGGCTATGGTAATCCCAATGCAGAAAGTCATTATACGTAGGTTACAGTTACGAATTTTCTCTTAAAGGCTAGAGTATCTTGAACGAATCTTAGGAGTTTTTAAGATTTTTTCAGATGTCGTCTATTCTCACGGTGCCACGCCAGGTTACCACAATAGGTCAAATTTCTACAGTTGATTTTAAACTCTTTAACTGCTAAATCAAGTGGAGTGACATAATTGTATAACCTGATGTTCTGTTGACTGTATTAAGACAGGACTTCGGGTTAATTTTTCAAAAATAACTTAGTATATTCATTACATATTAAAAACATGAGAGGCATATATATTTTTTTGCAGAATAACCGGGATTTATGAAAAACGCTACCGTCCTGGTAATGTGACGTTAGTGGCGTTATGATGGGCTGCTAGATCACATTAATAAAGTTGCTGGTCGTAGCCTGGTGAAATAATTTAATAATTAAAGTCATCATTACAAAACACTCGAGAAACATTAAAAATATAAGTCTTGTATTATACATAAAAATATTCCTTTTGAATCACCCCTCTATCTATCTATAAAAAAACCGCATGAAAATCCGTTGCGTAGTTTTAAAGATTTAAGCATACCTAGGGATAGGGACAGAGAAAGCGACTTTGTTTTATACTGTGTAGTGATTATCGCTAAATTCAGGTCTCACAAAGTTTTGTGGTGCCTAATTTTATCCTAAAAGTTCTTACATATTATTATATTCAGTTGATTGTAGGGTTGGATACAAAACGAGTATAATTTGGGTAGATTTGGTGTGGTAACTATAAAAATGACAGCGAAAAAAAATTGAAAATATATAGGTACAATTAAATTCGTTGTCGTTTCTACAAATCTATTTTTATATGAAAACAATTACCTTATCTTGTTTTAACTGACAGACCAACACCCTATTTTTGGCGACATATTTGTATCCCACTTGTCTTAAGATTGATTGAAGATAAAGATCCCAAGATGAGTAGTTAAAGCCTCCGTATTATGGAGTATCTGAGACAACGAAGGCACAGACCACGACACCCAAAACCGATACAGTATAGACAAGTCCATTTTCGACATAGTACAGGAATCGAACCCGGGACCTCGGTTATGGCGATATCTTGAAAACCGGCGGGCGAACCCCTCGGCTACGGAATAAAATAATATTGGATTTGTCACTCTCAATTCTTATATTTCATATGTATCGGGGAAAACTCTGCAGCAAACAGACTAGGGAATACTCATCCATGAATAGAGATACTACCTCATTGACGGAGCGGAAGACCTCACAAAACGACTATGAAAAAGGCGTGTCTTTCGGTATACATTACTCGTTGGTATGGAGTGGTGTTATAAATAAATAAAACGTTTGCATCATACTCGCAGCTCGGTGGCGTAGTGGATAAGCGCCGCGGCCCGCGATCGTTGTCGTTAGGCAACTTTCGCAAGGGTCGGTCACGGGATGGGTGACCGAAAAATTATTATCTCGAGCGACTCCGTGCTTCGGAGGGCACGTTAAGCCGTCGGTCCCGGCTGCATTTGCAGTCGTTAATACCCTCCAATCCGCATTGGGCCAGCGTGGAGGGTCATGGCTCATCCTCCTTAACCATCCATATGGAAGGCCTGAGCCCCTGCAGTGGGGACGTAAAAGGGCCGGTGATGTGATGATCATACTCGTAGAATCTGACATCGCGTCTGTAAGGGCTGTAGGTGATGCTGCTATTAGCGTATTTATGGATAATCAATAACGTTATGGATAAACTATAACCGTTTACGACACAATTCCAGTTACGCCACGTACGCAATCAAACATAAAGCTGACGTCAATGTCGTGCTGAAAAAGTGGATTTCGCACATACTGTTCCATTTATTTACTTGGTTAAATATATTTATACAATATTTAAATATCAAAATTCTGCTTTATATATTACTTGTTTTTGCCTGCGACTTCGTCCGCGTGTTAAAGTTACTTTGAGAAGCATTTCTAACGAATATTTATTCATTACATCGTATAAAATACCTGAAATAAAGTTTCATCCCCTATTTTATCCCCTTAGCGTTGGAATTTTTCAAAATCTTAGGGGATGCCTACGTCATTGTAGCTTTATGCATGCAAAGTCTCAGCTCGATCGGTTTAAAATTGACAAAGTTTCATGCAAACTTTCAACCCCTATTTTATCCCCTTGGGGAGAGAATTGATCAAAATCCTATCTTAGCGGATGCCTACGTCATAACATCTAACTGTATGCCAAATTTCAGCCCGATCCGTCCAGTGGTTTGGGCTGTGCGTTGATAGATCACTATGTCAGTCAGTCACCTTTGAGTTATATATATTTAGATAGATGATAATTATGG